ATGGCTGTCCTTGGCTTCATAGCGAGTTTGAGAACAGCATGGAATACAAGAAATGGTGACTCAAACATATATAAATAAAAACAGGACAACACAGTCTGATCTGCTCAGATAAACTGGTCTCTTTAGAGATCTTTTTGGTGGGGAGGAGGAAGACAAGGTTCTCTATGTAGCTCTGGATGACCTGAGACTCCCTATGCCCACCAGGCTGTCCTTGAATTTGTGATGATCCTCCCCCCTCTGCCTCTAGAGTACTGAGTATAGACATGAGCCACCACATGAAGGAGATAGACTTCTTCACTGACTTGAGCAAATACAATACTCACAGAAATGGTCCAGAAGTACATAAGCATCAAAGTTTGAATAGCTCTCATCAGTTTTTTGTTTTAGTTTGCTTTTTTTTTTAAAGATAGATTCTCCTTCTGTAGCCTAGGCTGGTCTTGAATTCATGGCAGTCTTCCAGGTTTATCCTCCCAATTTTTGGAATTGCAAGCATGAGCCACCATATTTGGCCCAAAGCCTGAACAGTTTGGACTCTTGTCCAGCACGCTCCCTACCCACATAAATGAAAAGGCAGCTGGAGCTGCCTGTGTTCTTTTCACACACAAGTGATGTCAAGCCAAAGAATTTGGCTTGGCTGGTTACCCTTAACTGGAGCTGTCATTCTCCTCTGTACAATGCTGTGACCGTATTTGAAGGTGCCAACCCTGTCTGCGCTGTATCCATAGTGTAACTTCATTCCGGCTTCACCAGCTGCTTTTCAGGCACCTGATCCCACTGGCTTCTGGTCGGCCTCGCCTGATGCTGCCTGGATATTGGCACTTAAAACTGCGTTTTGAAGTCAGACTCGGTGGCATATGCTTGTAATCCCAGCACTCTGGATGTGGAGCAGAATCATGGTGGCGGGGAGCAGACACTGACTCTTTCTAGATGCTTGGCTTGGGCCACCACATTCTTGTCTATTTTTAGGACAACATCCTTTCTTTGGCTTCCTGAGAAACTGTTCTTCTTTTTCTGTTCCTAAACTGTTTCCACTCCTACTTTAGACTGAGGCATCTGTACATGGGAAGCATGAAGCTTAGGGCTCCAGTTTTTTTTGTTTTTATTTTATTTTTTAATTTTTTTTCACACAGCTAAGGAAAAGGTACAAGTTATACTAAATTGTTCTAACCAAAGAGGTAAAACTGGGTATCAATAACACAACAAAACTTGCATGCACTGTAATATTACAAAATTAAAAAAACCTTAGTCTATGTAGTCAAAGCTGGCCTTGAACTCTCTGTGCAGTAGAGGATGATCTTGAAATATCAATATTCAACATCAATATTGAAATATCAATAGCACAACAAAACTTGTATGCACTGTAATAGTACAAAAAATTTAGTAAAGTAGTCAAGGTTGGCCTTGAACTCTCAATATTCCTTTTACTATTTTAATTTTTTGTTTTGTTTTGTTTTTCGAGACAGGGTTTCTCTGTAGCTTTGGAACCTGTCCTGGAACTAGCTCTTGTAGACTAGGCTGGCCTTGAACTCACAGAGATCCACTTGCCTCTGTCACCTGAGTGCTGGGATTAAAGATGTGTGCCACCACCGCCTGGCCTCCTTTTGTTTTTGTTTTTTTTTTTCCTTCAGTGCTGGGACCAACTCTAGGGCCTTGTGCTTACTAGACAAGTGGTCTACCATTGAACTAAATAATCAACTCTTCCTCCTCTTTCATTGCTGCTTTGCAGTACTAAGAATTAAACCTTGGGCCACACACTTTAGTCCAGCACACTACCAAATTCTTAGCCTGATTTTTCTTTTTATATTTACTTCTTGTATATGTGCACACTCAGGACACTACATTAGTGTGGAGGACAGAGGACAACTTGTGTGAACTGGTTCTCTCCTTTCACCTTGTGGGTTCTGGCTCTCCAACTCAGGTTGCCAGGCTTGGCAGCAAGAACCTTTACACACCAAACCATTTCACTTTTAATTAGAGCAAATGTTTGGACCCAGAGACAGGCCTTATGATTGGAGATTTCAGCAACAGCATTACACAGGTTTTCTCAGACTCTCCTCTCTCCCCACCAGCCTGCTCCCCTCCAGGACCTCAGGCATTCCTTAGCCCTGGCTGGCCTTAACCTCACTATGTAGATGAAGGTCTCTAACTCCTGAGCTATGATGGCAAGGTGGGGCATCACACTTAACTCTTTTGTTGCTGTTTTATTTTATTTTGTGGCAGTCTCATGTAGTACAGGCTAGCCCACAACTTGCTATGTAGAAGAGGATGATCTGGAATTCCTGATCTTCCTGCCTCCACCTTCCAAGTGTTGAGATATTACAAACTCAAACCACATGCCTGGCTTTATGGTTTTAAAGTTTATCGAGACTTCAAAGGAAAATGAAGAGCCACTTCTTAAGAGTGGTCATTAATGGAAGGCCTTAAAAAAAGTAGGTAAACAGTCCTGCTTGGGACTGGGATATAGCTCCCTGGCGAGTATATGCTTATTAAACAGAAGACCCCTGGGTTCAGTTTCCAACATCGAAAACAAAATACTTCTACTGAATGGATATTACAGAATTTACTTAACCGTTTTGTATGTGTGTGTTGAATTACAAATTGTTCCCATGTTTCTGTCATGTGAACTGAAGAGTCAGAAAAAACAAAACAAAACAAAACAAAAAACCAAAAAACCCAGCAGGCTGTGGATCCAGAGCCAAGTTATCTTGGGCTGTCTTCTGTCTCCTTAAGAGCCATTCACTGAAGCTAGGCCTGGTGGTGAATGCCTTTAATTCCAGCATTGGGGAGGCAGAGGTGGCAGGTGGATCTCTGAGATTGAGGACAGCCTGGTCTATAAAGCAAGTTCTAGGACAGCCAGGACTACACAGAAAACCGATGTCTCAAAAAACCAAAAAAGAACATTTCACCTGATTTTGACCTAACATCTTTATGATTATCGAGTAAAACTTTTGGAATAAATTAACTTAATACATAAGCTTCCACCAATCAAAAGCTAAGAATATCATCAGATAGTATTTGAAACTTATAGCAGAGATATAATATAAATATATATTGGTGGAAATATTAGGTAAAGGGTACATACATATATTTAAATAAATATATATATAATTTATTTGGCTGTGCAGTGGTGGTACATGCCTTTAATCCCAGCATTTGGGAGGCAAATGCAGGTGGATTTCTGAGTTCAAGGACAGCCAGGGCTAGAGAAACCCTGCCTCAAAAAAACCAAAACCAGAAGAAAAAAAAAACACCATAAGACTTTATTTATGGGCTGAAGAGATGGCTCAGAGGTTAAGAGCACTGACTGCTCTTCCAGAGGTCCTGAGTTCAATTTCTAGCAACCACATGGTGGTTCACAATCATCTGTAAAGAGATCTGGTGCCCTCTTCTGGCCTGCAAGGACACACGGAGGCTGAACACTGTGTACATAAACCAATCAATCAATCAATCTTAAAAAAAAAGACTTTATTTATTTATGTTTATGTGAGTGCCTGAATGTATGTCTGTGCCTCATGTGTGCACAGGGGACAAAGGAGTTCAGAAGCGGGTGTTGGAGTACAAGCAGTTGTGCACTTCTGTCGTGGGTGCTGATAATTGAAACCGGATCCTCTGGAGGATCAGGCAGTTCTCTTAACCACTAAGCCAGCACTTCAGTCCCTGTTTGTTTGCTTGCTTTGGTTTGTTTTTGCTTTTTTGAAACAGGATCTTACTGTGTAGCCCTGTTTTGGAACCTGCTACTTAGACCAGGTTGGTCTGGAACTCAGAGGGATCTGCCTGTCTCTGCCTCCTTAATGCTAGGATTAAAGGTGTCCGCTACCACCAACCACCACGGGCTTGAATCAACTTATTCTCTTTCAGGTGACAGTTGTTTCTGTGTTTACAACTACGATACCAATGTTAAGAGAAATGACTGTTTTCTTTTCATGGAATGAGTTTTTAAAAAATTTTATTAGTACTACATTTATTACTGTGTGTGTGGACGAATGTCATGTAGAAATCAGAGGACAACTTGCAAGGATTGGCTCTCACCTACCACCGTGTAGATCGAACCCAGACTGTCAAGTTTGCAAACACCTTTACCCCTACCCGAGCCGCTATCTCCCGGGCTGTCAGATTGTTTCTTATAAATGTAAAATGTAATTACCGAATAGAAAAAAATCCAATTTTCCACCTTTTGGTCCAATTAAAAAAAAATAAAATGACAAGTTGCTTTCACGAAGAAAGTCCCCAGTTTTACTTTTGATACCTGTTTTTAAAGACGCTAACGAGGGGGAAACCAGTTAATGTGATGGGGGATGCTCAGTAGCAGATATGTACTTTGCATGCCCAAGGTCTCGGGTTAAATCTGCAGCAAAACCAAAAACAAAACCCTAAAATTTAAAAGCGGGGAATCTAATATACTTACCAGTGAGAAGCTGGATAGCTGTCCTGAGGGGCAGGAGTAGAAAAACTGTCAAGAAGATTGTCTGGGTTCAGAAAATGCCAAATATAATGAGCTAAGGTGTATTTGCTTGTGACAAGAGGGTTGACGGCGGGAAAGCTTTTGTTTTGAACCAGAAAAGCTGGACTCTAATCTCATTTCTGTAGCTCTATGACCTTCATAAACCTGTGAAACCTTGTTTCTGAACCTCGGTTTTTATGTCTCATGTTTTAAGTTTTCCACGATCTTCAGACCAGGAACGCAGCTTCCACCGCGCTTGTGACCCACTTGCAGAGGAACCTTCGGAATCTTAAATCCGGAAGCGCCAACTAAACGCGCGCCGGCACTTCCGGTCGGCGGGAACAAAAGAGTCAGAAGTCCCCAAGGCCTCACTTCCGCGTGACGAAAGCAGCGCAGAAACGTCGACCCGCATACTGCAGACCCGTGACTTGGCCATGCGACTGCTCATGCGCCTCGCTCGTGTGAGGTTGGTAGGCGTGGCCCCGAAGGAGGCGGGGCCCGCCCTGACTTGTCTCGCGGTCACTGGGCCTGCGGGAGCGCGCGAGGCTCGTGGGCGGGGCTGGCCGGGGCTGGGCGGGCCGCAAGCCGAGCTCGCTCCGAGGCTCTGCCCAGCGTTTCGCTGCCGAGGTCGTCTCGGGTGAGGGGGTCGCGCCGGAAGTGGCTGTGCGGTGCGCGGCGCTGTTGGTAGGAAGCTGCGGGAGGAGTTTAGTCATTCAAGGGGGGCGCGGCAGCATCGGTTGTTCTTCTCAGCCCCCTGCTACAGCCATGACGAAAGGCCGTGTCGCCGAGCGGACGCAGACGGGGGCGCGGCACTCGACCCCAGCGGGGGACCGGACAATGGGGACGCGCGGTGCCGCCACGCCAGGCAACAGAGACCACCTGAAGGGTGAGTGGATCTGCGGGCCGGACCTGAGGCTACCCCAAAGGCCGGAGGGGCGAGTACCCCAGCAGGTCTCAGGGAAAGACGGACCTTTCAGCTCCCAAGGACCGCAGCAGGAGAGTAGTGTACTTGACTGGGGACCGCGCGACACAGGGTCAAACTCGTAGTACGTACTTTCTCAATAGACTCCAGTAAAAAGAAGCAGTGACACTGACTTGTTGAAGCTCAGATAGACAATGAAGTTGGTTACCCTGGCTACCTTCCAGGCTGGTGAGGCTTTTTTTTTTTTTTTTGCATTGTTTTCCAGGTGAACAAACTGAGGGATATGCAGGTACGTGGCTTGTGCAGAGTCACAGAGCAAGCTAAGGGAGTGACTAAGAGCAAGGACTGGACCTTCCAGGTGCCATTTGAAAGTCTTAGATCCTGTGCTTCTGTTTACTGTGCTTTGTAACTTTGATTTTTGTTGATGTTTTTGGTTTTTTGAGACAGGCTTTATAAACTGTGTAGCCCTGGCTGTACTGAAACTTTCTCTGTAGATCAGGCTGGGGTCGAACACAAATACCTACCTGCCTCTTACTTGCATGCTGGGACTAAGGTATGCGCCTCCACCGCCCAGCCCCAGACCCTGTCTTTAAAAACGAACGAACAAACAAATATTATCCAAGCCGGGCTGTGGTGGCTCACACCTTTAATCCCAACACTTGGGAGGAGGAGGCAGGCGGATCTCTGAGTTTGAGGCCAGCCTGGCCTACAAAGTGAGTTCCAGTACAGCCAGAGCTGTTACACAGAGAAACCCTGTCTCAAAAAAAAAAAAAGGCAGGGTCTGACTATGTAGGTCAGGCTGGCCTGGAACTCACAGAAATCCACCAGCCTCAGCTCAAGGAGTATGCCATGCCACCACGCAGAGCTGGATTTATAACTTTGAAAAACTCAGTATCTGAATTATTAAACAAGAATAGTAATAATAGGATCTGCTAAAAGTTACTAAGGAAACTCATTCAAAAGATTTTTTTCCTACTACACCATCCTTGGAGCTTTAAATATTGTAAGTAAATGCTTTGATTTTGTCCTGGCATGAAATTATTCGTTGCTTTTCAGCAACTGGAATGATTACATTCTTTTTTGTTGGTTGTTGTTGTTTTTGTTTTGCTTGAGACAGGATTTCTCTGTGTAACTTTGTAGCCTGTCCTGGTACTCTGTAGTCTTGAACTCAGAGAGCCACCTGCCTCTGCCTTCAGAGTGCTGGGATTAAAGGCCTGTGTCACCACAATCCTTGCATTCCCTTATACACACACACACACACACACACACACACATACACACACATTGGTGTGAAGGTGTCAGATTCCCCTGCAACTGAATCTTCAAACAGTTGTGAGCTGCTATGTGGGTGCTGGGAATTGAACCCGGGTCCTCTGTAAGAGCAGTCAGTGCTCCTAACCACTGAGTCGTCTCTCCAGCTCCCCAGTCCTTGCGATCTTTTAAGCACTTTTGAAGCTCAAACGCCTGGTGTGATCCTTTAAGATGTTTGCAGCAAACTTACTGCGGTCTTCACCACCACTAATGGCCAAAACGGTGGTCTTGTGAGACTTTGTAGTGGGAGGCTGGAAAGATGGTTCCGTGGTTAAGCACACTGGCTGCTCTTACAGAGGACCCTGTTTCCATTCAGGGCACCTCATCACCATCTGTAACTCCAGTTCCAGGGCATCTAGAACCATCCTCTGGGTAACATGCATCCCCTGCCCCTCAATAATAAAATAAATATTAAAAAATATATATTGGAAATATGCTCTCAGCTGATTTTATATGTATGTTGTAGTCTAATAGGTTTATGTATTTGCATATAGACTGGAGCTAAATAATTTCATATAAATGAAAAAACTCTTAGGAACAGATGGTTGCTAAAGCCTAAGTCTCCTTTTGGTTTTTGAGACAGGGTTTCTCTGTGTAACAGTCCTGGATGTCCTGGAATTTGCTTTGTAGACCAGGCTGGACTCGAACTCATTAAGATCCATCTGCCTCCCAAATTCTGGGATTAAAGGAGGCGTGCGCCACCACTGCCCAGCCCTAGAAATGCTTTAAGTGCAGGGAACACTGTTTTGAAGACTCAAGTGTGGAGAGTGAGAATAATCCAAGCTCTAGGTAATTGTCATTTGGCTTGAGATAGTTAGCCTTCAATTTTGTGGACTTGTTTGTTTTGTTGCTGTTGTTTGCTTTGGAGTTACTAAATAATAATAATGCCTCAAAACTTCCAGAATTCTTTTATGGTGGTTTCTTTTATTAAATGACTTGCAAACTACACAATCATAAGCCAAAGGACAGAGATTTTTCTCCCCCTCCCCCTCTCTGCCTTTTCCTAATGTTAGGAATTCTTTTTGTAGCAAAAGATTCTCTGGTCCTCTCACATGATAGGATTTAGTTTACTTAGAATTCTGCTGCAGTGGTGCCATTAGTAACTAATTAGCAATCAGTTTCCTACAATTGTGAAAACAACTTTTATTGATTGTAGATAGCAACTTGCCATTCAAAGAAAAAAGGCAAAGAAGTAAAGATTCTAATAACCTTTGATTGAAAACTACTTAGTGATAGAATCTTCTTACAAATTTTGTAACACTTCAGTGTTTGGTTTTTGTTTTGTTTCGTTTGTATCCCAAGTTGACCTGGAGATCCTACCTAAAAATGAGCCACTATATACCAGGCATGACACTTTTTTGTCTGTTTAGACCAAGCCTACACCAGGCTGAGTTCCATCTTTTGGTGGTCCTGTCTCTGTCTCACCACTACTGAGATTGCAGACAAGTGCCACCATTTGTGACCTCTGTGTGTGAGATTTTTGTTTTTTCTTTCTTCTATTTTTTTCTTGTTTTGATGTGTGTGTGTGTGTGTGTGTGTGTGTGTGTGTGTGTTATACATGCATGTCTGTGGTTGCCTACACTTGGGAGATGGGTACAGGAAAGGAGTTCAAGGTCACCTTTGATTACATCTTTGAGTTGGAGGTCAGCCTGGTCTATATGAAGCTATATAGCAAAACAAAACACATGGAGGTACAATATGATTAATTTTTATTTTTGAGGCTTCATTCATGTATTTTTACTTTCTAAGAGGGATTCTCACTGTGTCACCTTGACTTAACTGGAACTCACTGTGTAGACCAGGCTGGTCTCAAACTTACAGAGATCCATCAGCTTCTGCCTCCTTAGTGCTGAGGCTGTATTGAAGATGTTGATGAATGGAGACAATTCACAGAGCAGGGTCTAGAAGGAAGTCTGTTAACATTTAACAAAAAGATAAAGATAAGACTAGGGAAGGTGATCTTTTGAACAGAGTTGGGATAGAATGGGAGGGTTCACTAAAGAAAGAGGCAGAGTCCTTGGGTACAGGGACAGTGTTGTGACACAATTCCTGTCCGTCAGTAACCCAGATTGAAGCAGGGAAAGTATATGGACTAGTAGGTTGTAAAAGCATGTCTCTTTCTCAAGCAGTACCTTTGACCTGGGAGAAAGCTAGATAGGCAGAGAGTTGGATAAGAGTATGATGATGTTAGATTATAGTATTAACGAGCATAATGGTAGTATTGCAGAAGATCTAGAAGCCAATGCATTTTAAGTGCAGGCACGGTGGCTACCAGAGTCAAAGCACCCCCATCTAACAAAGAAGCAGTAGTAGCATGCGTGGTACAGATTCAGATGAAAACTGTAAAATCAAGATTTATAATTGAATTATGCTTAGAAGTATAAATGAATTGTATTCTAGCCTTTAGGTTTACTAGGATTATACAGAAGCATTATTGGACCATAATTATCAACACTATTTATGACGTGGAAAAGTAGAGCCTCAGAATTGAATGTCACTTAAGTGTTGTACACCTTTTCCATGCTTTCTTTTCTAGTGAGCATAATGCTAATACGGGTGGAGGGGACTCAGTTTCAGACAGTGAAGAGAATAAGTGTCAAGTTAAACCTGAGAAGTTACGTCACTGTCAGCTGGACAGTGGTGGTGCAGCACTCGGGAGACAGAGGCAGGTGGATCTCTGAGTTTGAGGCCAGCCTGGTTTACAAAAGCTAGTTCCAGGACAGGCTCGAAAGCTACAGAGAAACCCTGTCTCAAAAAAACCAAGGAAAAAAACCCCTCCAGTTAGTTAGTGCTCTGTAGCCCAGTTAACCATTTCTGAAACATGTCCCAGTTGTTCCCTAGTGTAGGACTGGTGAATTCTTAGTGCAGAGAAAAAAAAAATTGAGTTTTCCAGATAATATAGCAAATGCCTTATTTAAGTTTTAACTCAAAGCTGGGCCACATACCTTTAATCCCAGGGCAGTGTGTCTTAGGGAAAAATTTTTTTTGATTTTAAAAGACTGTTGGTCTTAAAATGTATTTAGGAGCATACAGTAAGGTTAGAAGGTTTTTTTTTCCCATCTTTTAATCTTTTTAAACTAAAAATTGCCTTTATCTTGTCCACCTAGTAATCTGGCTTTCCTGTAAAGTCTTTAAGCCCTTTGATTTCGTATTCTTCATGATGGTTTTGCCTGCTTCTTGGAAGTAGAGGTTAAACATAGTAGGTGCTGAGCATACAGAGAAGTATGCTTTCAGTCTGTCACTTACGTAGAATTGCCAGGAGTGGGGAGAAGATCTGCCATTTGTTCTTAGAAATCATTCTTGTGTCCACAAATGCTTTCATACTGAAAACTAATCTAAAGTTAATGTTAAATCTTGTTACTATTGCTGGGCAGTGGTGGTGCATGCCTTTAATCTCAGCACTCAGGAGGAAGAAGCAGACAGATCTGAGTTTGAGACCAGCCTGGTCTACAGAGCAAGTTCCGGGACAGCCAATGCTACACAGAGAAAAAAACCCTGTCCGCAAAAACAAACAAATTGGGGCTGGAGAGATGGCTCAGCAGTTAAGAGCATTGCCTGCTCTTCCAAAGGTCCTGAGTTCAATTCCCAACAACCACGTGGTGGCTCACAACCATCTGTAATGAGGTTTGGTGCCCTCTTCTGGCCTGCAGGCATACACACAGACAGAATATTGTATACATAATAAATAAATAAATAAATAAATAAATATTTTTAAAAATCTTTAAAACAAATTATATTGCTATAAACACTTTGAATTCATAGACTTTCTTCTCAATGAAATAAGCTAAAACTTTGGACTGGATCAACTTAATTCTAGATGGTAGTTTAAAAGATTTTTTGCATTTATTGATTGATTTGAGGGTAGATGGGCATGTGTGTATGTGCCAGAACACAGTGTTCCAAGGCATGCATGTGGACATGGAAGGACAGTTTGCAGGAATATGATCTATCTTTGCTTTTTTGTGGGCGTCAGGGATGGAATTCAGGTCACCTGTCAGGTTTGGTGGCAAGTGTCTTCACCTGCTGAGTCATCTCCTCAGCCCTTCAGGTAGATATAAAAGACAACAGGCATGATGAAAACTGTTTGCATACTACTTAAATGAATAGCGTGTCTTTGCTTTGACAGCCCATTGAAACTGTTTCTCTGAACTCAGTATTTATGTATTCCTCTTATTAATCTTTTGTTTTGTTTTTGAGACAGGATTTCAGGGCTTTTCTATGTAGCCCTGGGTATCCTAGTACTTGCCCCTGTAGACCAGGGAGGCCTCATACAGAAATTCACCTGCCTCTGCCTCCCCAAATGCTGGTTTTATTTGACAAAACAAAACAAAACAAATTGTGTGTGTGTGTGTGTGTGTGTGTGTGTGTGTTTGTTTTGAGGTGATTTCCTTGTGTAGCCCAGGTTTATTTCCAATTCTCAATTCTCCTGCCTCAGTTTCCTAATGGCTGGGATTACTTAGGTGTATGCTGCCTGCCTTATCTTACCTAATCTTTTGTCCTAAGAACAAAAGCTACATTTTTGATTTAGTTGTTTTAATACATACTGATGTTTTTGTAACTTGTATTGTTGTTGTGTGTATGGTGTAAGTATGTGAGTGGGTAGATATGTTCACTTAGGCTCATACATATAGAGCCCAGAACACAAAGGTGCCTTCCTTTATTGCTCTGTGCTTTACTGCCTTAGATAGACTCTCTTAATGAGTAGGAAGCTCCCTCTTTGGACTAGGCTGGCTGAATGTGAGTCTGGGGATTCAAACTCAGTTCTCATGTTTGCATTATATGCACTCTTGGCCATTTCCCCAGCTCCGTAACAACTGTTTTGTTTTTAGAGGTTAACCTTATGTATGAGTGTTGGCTGCATGTGTGTATATGCCCCACATGCTGGCTGGCACCTGTGGAAACTTGAAGAGAGAGGGCATCAGATTCCCTGGAACTGGAGTTTTGGATGGTTGTGAGTTACTATATGAGTGCTGAGAACTGAATGAACTTTTCAGAGCAGCAGCTGCTTCATCAGTCTCTGGAGCCCCATAGCTATCAATTCTTGAGGCAGAAGTCTTATTATCTATCCCAGGCTAGCCTCAGTCCCATTATCCATCCCATCCTGGCCTCAGACCTTCAGATTTTGAGAGTTGGCTTTACATGTTTGACCCATCATGCCAAAAGTAATTTATGTATATGTGTGTGGTATGCACATGTTTGTGTGGGTGTGTGCACACGTAGAGGCCAGAAGTCAGTGTCAGGTATCTTCCTCAGTCTTTTGTTTGTTTGCTTTTGTTTTTTTGAGATGGGGCCTTACTATGTATCTCTGGCTGTCCTAGACTATGTACACAAAGTTGGCCTTAAATTTAAAGAGTCCTGCCTGCTTCTGCCCCTTGGATGTTGGAAGATGGCCAATAAGTGGTTCTTATATAGCAGTTGAAATAATTGGTTTAATGTCATAGTTTTAGGCAAAAGTATGAATAGCTTTTGGGAGAAAGGGGTTTGAGGAAGTTATTAGTTAGCTTGAAATATGATTTATTTTAATTACACTTTTTTTTTTCTTTCAGACAAACCTTGTGCAGAAGCTGGCTCAGCAAGAATGTCACTTCTTATACTGGTGTCCATTTTCTTATGTGCAGCTTTTGTTATGTTTTTGGTATATAAAAATTTTCCCCAGCTTAGTGAGTAAGTATGCAAGAGAGACTAAAAATGTTTATATATTTTAGAGGTGAAGTAAATTAAAAGCTAAATTTCCTTTAGCAACAGAACTATTTAAGGTGCTTGTGTGTCAGCTCTCAGGAATATAGAAGCCCAGGAGCACCTTCCTGTTCTTTGTTTTGGTTTAAACTCCCTGTTTTCACGAAGAATGACCTTGAATTTCTAGTTCTGCTGTCTCTACCTTCCTAGTCTGAGATGATAGGCATGTGCCACCATACCCAATTTTCATCCAGGTTTCCTGTATCTTACGTAAGCAGTCTACCAACCTTTCTCCTTTCCCTTCCATTTCCTTTCATCCCCTCCCCTCCCCTCTTATCCCTCCCCTTCCCTTCCATGAAACAAAATTAGAATTTATTAAGAAAAGGATGGGACAGGTGTGGTGGCACAAAGCCCTTAATCCCAGCAAGCACTCTAATAAGGACAAAGGTTGAGGCTAGCTTAGTCTACAGAGAACAGGGCAGGAGTTCACATGAAAGGGTTAGCAAAGGCTTCTCTAGCTAGAAAATTGCCTGGACTCCTGATTTTTCCGTGAAAGACTTTCCTAGTATCAGTTCCCTAATTAAGAAATCATCTTTTCAGTAGCTTTCATGTCTTTTTTTTAAAAGTATGAATACTAGAAGACATTAATTTGTGTGTGTGTGTGTGTGTGTGTGTGTGTGTGTGTGTGTGTGTGTGT